AAAATTAGTTAAAACTTAAAATCTCATGTAGCTAGATTAAATCAAGATGATTTAGAAAATAGAGTAAGTGATTCTTCTTTAAAAGATGAAACTGCTGAGATTTTAAAGAAAAAAATATTGGCTTAATTTAAATTATTAAATTTGGCAAAAAAAGAATAATTAAAAGGAAAAACTGAAGAAGAATAAATTTTAGAATCAAAAGAGGATGATTTCTCAATTGATGATGAAGCATTTAATGATAATATTGTAAATAATTATTAATATTATTAGTCTGATAATTTAGAAGAATTATAAAAGAGATAAAGAGAAGCTAGACTTGAATTTGAAAAAGAAAAAGCTCTTGAAGCTAAATAGAAGGAAGATGAATTAAAAAGTTAATAAGCAATTAAGGGATAAAAAGGTTCAAAGAAGAAAAAGGCTAAGAAATGATCTTTTTTAAGAGTGCTCAAATTATATTTATTTATTATCTTTACATTCTCATAAATTAAAGCATATTATGTGGACATATAATATCATTATTATAGTTTAGTTTACAAAATTTTTTTTTGATAATAATTAAATTAGATAATTAAAGTGAGAAATACATGTCATCTATTTTGAATAAATTTAAGAAATAAACACAATCAGAGACTCCAAGTGCAATCAAATTGGAAAATACTTCTTTTGGTTAATAAACAGGGACATATTAACCTCCAGTCATCCCTGCTATTTAATTACCGTAATCAAATCAACCTAGATAAAAAGGAAGACCAGGAGGAGGTAAAAATAAATAAATTATAAATTAGGTTGGGATGATGAACCTTAATCTTAGCCAGAATAAATTAGTATATCAAATAATAAAGCAACCAACTCAATTAATTTATTAAATAATACTCCACCAAAATAGAATGAATAATAAAATAATAATGATGTTCTTTTGCCACCTTAACCTGTTATAGGAAATATTTAATTGAGCAGAATAACAGATTACAAAAAAGGTTAATTGTTAACATATGAAGAATTGGAATTAGGAGGATTGTAAGATATATCTCAAAATTTAGTAATTATGAATTTCATCTGGTTGATGAAGTAATTAAATTGGGTGGTATCAAATTAAAGTAGAGTGACAATGTTCTTAAAGAATTTACTAGAGCAATTGCAACTATATAAGAATAACTTATAGGAAGCATTCTTTTAAATAAATTGCATAGTGAGGATAATTGGAAAGTATAGATTGTAAGATATCCATATAATTATTAGAGATGTATATATGCTATTCAATATGTGTGTCAATAATATTAAAATTATAGAGAATTCTTTTAAATGAATTAATAATATCTAAGAGTTGAAACTGATTAATAATTATTATCAGGAGCTATTGATTAGACATTAGCAGAAGTGAATGGTTAATAAGTTTAAAAGTAAAAGGTAATTAATAATTAAATTATTAAAAAAGGAATTTTAATTAGAATTTAGAGAACCACCAAAACCATAAGCTGATTTATAAAATTAATAACAAAATTTAATTGATATTTTAGATACTTCTTAAAATGATACATAATAATAGAAATAATAGTAATAAAAACTTAATTTAAAATAATTAAAGATTAAACAACCTGCTGTTTAAACATAATCATAATAATAACCTTTAGTATAATAATAGTCAATACCATAATAATAATTATAAGGTTAATAGAAAAATACATAATAAATTAATTTATTGGATGCATTTAGTGATTTGTCTTTAGAAAATTATAATTAATAATAATTCTAACCAATATAATAATAATAAATTAATTAATAATAATAATAATAATAATAATAATAATAATAATAATAATAATAAAATGGTATAAGTTTTGATGATTTACTTAATTCATAAACTACCAATCAATAATAAACTTAACCAAAAAAGAATGCTTTTGGTTTCATAAAAAAAGATTAATAATAACAATAATAGACATTCTAATAACCAATAAATTTACTTAATTCTCCTCCATAATAATATTAATAATAACCTTAAATTTATAATTAAGTTCCATAATTGCAACCATAATATTTTTATAATCAATCTCAAAGCATTTAAAATCAATAGATTTATTAACAACCCCAATAACAATTTAACAATTAATAATAATCATAAAATAATAAAAAGGATTTAATTGATTTTCTAAATTTGTGATTATTATTATAATATATCATAATATAAAGATCAATATAAATGTAAAAAACTAATTCTTATCATCTTAAAACCAATAAGAAACATAAATCATCTCCATTAACTTCCCAAGAGCTACTACAGAAATTATTAGATTTCAAATAAACACAAACTACTATGAATTGTTCTTATGAAAACAAAACCCTAGTAATGGGTGGAAATTTAGCAAAGAAAATCTCAAAATCAATTTCAGTTGGAAGTAGAAGCTGGAAAGATATAGTACCTCACTTACATGAATCTGATAATTGTCTTAAACAAAAAGAAGAAATTGTTAATACATTAAAGAGATCAAAGCATGTTAGACATATTAGTTAAATATGGTCAATGAGAAATAGAACTGATAGTAATTTCCATACTCCAAGAAAAGAAGGGGTAAATGATTTTATTTAAAATGCAAGAATCTTTTTAAAAGAGAAACTATTAGAAAATAAGTTAGATAAGCTTTGTTATTAGGTTTAATAATTAAAAAATAAATCTAATATATTGGAATTATAAAATAAATTACTTTTTGAAAACATTAAGCAACATCATAATGAACATAATAATATGAAAGTATGTAAAGTTATATAGTAAGGAAAGAAAGGTTTTGATGGGAAAGTTAGATTAAATGATTACGATGCAAAAGAAATAAGAATAAAGCATAAATTATTTTAAATAATTGTTCAAAGATAATGATGATGAAGGAAGAAGAGTGAAAACCTAAACTTCTTATCCAAAATTAAGACCTGTTCTATATTCTGGTTATATAGGATTAAAGATGTGAAAGTTATTTATTGTTATTATGTAATATTATAATTAATGTAAAAAACCTATAATTAAGTGAAAATAGAAGATTGTAATTAAATAGATAAAGAAACCAAAAGCTCAACTCTTTTAGGATCTAAAATATATTCTTAATACAATTACAGATGGATAATTTTAACATGTTATCTTTTAGTCGTATTTATAAACGGTATTTCATATTAAACCTTTATTCCCAATGCAAAATAAGTATTAGTTTATAAATTAATTATAGTTTGTATAATTATATGATGTAGATGAATAAATCATAACTCTAACTGGTACTATATATCTGATTATGTAGCCTTTATTTACTTTTTTTGCATCTTCAAGTATTTAATCTACATATAATTAGTTATTGTTAAGAAGGGATTTGTTGTATCAACTAATTTAGGTGTAATATTAACAATAGTTGGTTATGGAATTAGACTCTTAATTAATAAATACTCTTTTATTTTTGCCATTTTAGGTTAAGCATTTTTAGGAATATCAAGACCTTTTATTTTAAATGGTTAGACAACTATGGCATAAAATTGGTTCTTTCCTTCAAATCGTACAGCAGTCTTGGCTGCATGTAATGCATTTTAATCATTTTCAATGGTTATTAGTGTATTATGGCCAGCGAACTGGATTTTTAAAGATTATTCTTACAACAAGTAAAATTAATAGGAAGGTTTGGATCTATCAATATAACTCTAATACTAATAATTCTTTTTTAGTCTGACTCTTCTTCCTGTTTTTTTTCTTCTAAAAAATAACCCAAAAACTCCCCCTTCTGGATTTGCTAATTCTGATCATGATGTAGGATTCTATCAATCAATTATTAAGCTTTTAACAAACAAAAATTTTATTTTGATTCTTTTTACTTTTAGTCTTTTTTTTGGAACAAAAAAAGGGTTTGGTCTGATTTTACCTTACATAATGTCTCCTTTTGGATTTGTAGATACTGATTATTCAATAGCCTCTACTATGTTAATTATAGGAGGATTTTTTTCAGCTGGGTTTGTGTCTAAATTAGTATTAAAATTTAAGAAATATAAAACTATTGGAATTACTTTATTTATTATCTCACTTGCTTTAACTTTACTCATGTATCCTATTTTAATGACAGAACGGTTAATTCTATTATGCATCTAATAACTTCTCTTAGGATTCTTTATAATTCCTATGGTGCCAGTTTTAATTGAATATAGTTGTGAATCTATATATCCTTTGAATGGTAGTTTCTCTGTTGGAGTTATGGTTTCAGGAGTAACCATTGCTGCCATGTTAAGTAGTATATTACTAACATTTACATCAAAAGGATAAGATAGCGATAAGAATAGTATATTTAACACATATATTATATTTTGTTGTATATAATTAACAGGCTTTATTTTGTTTTTATTTACAAAGGAAATATTGAATCGAAGCAAAGAGGTTTAATAAAGAGCTTAATCAAAATAAAGTGTATTTTATTGTTAATAGCAATTGAAAGATTCAATTGTAAACCCAAATGGAGTATATAATGAATAAATAGTGGGTGATTATCCAACAGAACATCCAATATTGGATTCTCATTAATTTATTTAGAATCCTGAAGTTTTAAATCCTGATTTTATAGAACAAATGTAGAATGATGAATAAAGTTGAGTATTCTTTTTTTTTTTGTATATTAAATATTTTATAATTATGATTTGTCCTCTCATTTGTGATTAAAATTGCATTAATTACTTATTTGAAAAAGGATAGATTATATCAATAATAAGTGTAGCTTTTGCAGTTTCAATTAGTTGGTTTATGATTAGGAAACATTTAAATTATTTCAATTTTCCGTATTTTCAAAGCAAAATTATAAGTATGGAATTTGAATGATGTTAGTAATATTAATGATGTCTCCTTTTTATGCTGTTATTTCAATTTTATCGTTAGAGATTGCAGTATTATATTATTTTAAAAGAATTTAGCATAATATTTTGAATTGATAAGAGATATATACTTAGCCTTTTTATTGTTTACATTCTTTTATTTGATGTTTTCTTATATGGCATATGATGAAGAATTAGACAAGATAACAGATGAGAAAGTTTATGAAACAATGATTTAAAATGAAGAATATATAGAGCATTTATGGCCATTTAATCATTGCTCTAGAAAATATTATTTAACAACAGTGTCAAAAGCTAAATATTTTACATATAGATGTAAGAAATTTGTACTTTAATATTGCATCATTAAACCAATTTTTACTTTTTTATTGATATTTTCATAACCTTTTCATTCATAATTTATTCTGAATTTGGAATTAATCTTTGAAATAATAATTATTTTGAGTGAATCCTTTTCTCTTTATTATTTAATCCTTTTTTATGTAGCTCTTAAGAAACCTTTAAGTCCATATAAGTATGAATTATTGTAATTGAATTATTAGACCACTTTTAAAATTCTTGATTATAAAAATAACATTATTCTTTACATTTTGGTAATCACTTGTGTTGTCTGTATTCAAAAAATAAATTGGAGATTGTTTTGAGCCAGATGATATTCACTTTACAGATGAAAGAATTATTAGTAGTATAGAGAATACATTAGTATGTTTGGAGATGTTTATAATGACAATAGCATGTATATTCGCATTTAGCTATAGCGAATTTATGAAGGAATAAAATAATAAGGGAACTCTTAAAAAAGCTATAAGTGATAATTGGAAGGCATTTAAACATGACTTTAGATTAATAAGACCAAAGAAATTTGGGTAAATAAATCATTTTTATATTAGATATACACCAAAAGTACATCATATAGAATTACAGGAGAAATTGTTTTCATCAAATGAAGTAGATATTCATATTGAGAAAATGAATGTGAAATAAGAATATTTATGAAATATTATTTATATATTGTAATTAATGGAAATATTACACTTGGCATTATTAGTAGTAATTTCTATTGTTTGTTTTAAAATTGGTTAAGGATTAGGATAGAAAGAAGTAGAAAAGCAATAATCACAATATATTTAAGTATATTTTTGATTAAATTGATTAGTTATAAGAGAATGAATAATTGATTGAAGAAATTGATGAAGATTTTATAAAATAAGTTGATTAATAAGAATAAGATTTAAAAGAAGCAATTAAAAAATATAATGAGATTAATCAAAGAGATAAGTAGTTATAGAAATAATTAAATGATTTAAAAAATGCATAAACGAATAATGTTAAACCTAAAGTTTAATAAAATGGTATAAAATTTATTCAATTTTTTAGAATTATTAAGTGATAAGGATTTTGATAATTTATTAGATGAAGGTTTTGTTGTAGATTAGGAAATAAATGAAACACAATTAGATTAAGATTTAATTGAAGCTAGTAAATGATTTGTCAATTGTTGTTTTTATTAAGTTTATATATCTTCATAAATTGTCCTTTCAATTTTTGTATCTATTTTCTATTCAATTCTATAAAAATATATAACATAAATAATTATTTTTTATAATACTCATTATAACCCTTTTTCTGTCTATGATTTAGACCAAGCTTATGCTATAGTTCGTTTCATATCATCATCTCCATTCTAATACATCTCTTTCATCATATTCATTAATGATGCCTATGGATCCTATTTGTCTACCTTAGATGGGTCTGTATCAATCTGCATATTGATCATAATTTACTAATTTCTCCTTAAAATTCAATTAATCCCAATTCTTTTAGTCTTTCTTAATTAAATTAATGACTATTGAATTATTGGTTACTTTGATTGAACAATCCTTATCTTTCAACTCATCAAATGTTTTCTTAATTGAAAATCTAAAATTATTTCATAATCTATAACCTGTGATTAAGACCTTTATAGCCTTTAACTTTAACATCTACACTATTTGATGTAAATTATGAATTAATATTTTCTTTAGGCAATTATCCTATTCCCTCCAAATTCAAAAATACTTTGACTTTATTCCCTTCTTAATCCCAAGCATACTTTGTAATTCCTTGATATTAGAGATTATCCTATTCTTTCTATTATTATTGTTGTTATTGTGGTTATTCAACTTTTTATGGTGTTAGTATTTTAATAGAGTTCTCTAGATATTTGATTCTATTATTTAAATAATCAACATTAGATTTGCGTTTGAGGGTTGAAATAACTTATTATATTTCAGCTAAATCGTGTTGGAGCTCTTCTAATTCAGACATTAAATTTAATAATATTAATATATTTAGTGTTAGATACAAATTATGTTTTTGAGTGCTAGAACAATCTATTTTGATGATATTAATATGGAATTTAAATTGTATTATAGCATCATTCATTTAAGCAATCGCATTCAGGATGTCTTTATGAAAAGTTCATTAAGCACTCTACTGATCTAAGGTTAACTGATTATAAGCATTCAGCTTAGAAATCGGCAACACATTATTCAACATTGCATCCTTAGAGAATGAGATTCCAATATGCAGTATGAGGGCAGTATTTAAGACCACATTCATATCTAATAATTTCTATATTAAGTACAAGTCAATCAATTTCTTATTTTTTGATTCATAAGCACAATCATGATAGCATGGGTCTGTTTCTCCACATTTATTCTTGCAATTTAAAGCCTTTGATGCACAACCAAAGACCTCAGCAACACAAGCATTATATTCTTTTGGGCATTTTTCTTTAACACAAGCTTCATCAGCAATGACAGCAATAACAAGAAGAGCAATAAGGATTGATTTCATTGATAATATTATATTGACAAAATATCTAAGATTTAAATTCGCCTTATATGATTAGAAATTACCCCCATCAAAATCGAATTACGTAATGTATTGATTACGATACTAATATTATTAATATACATCTTATAATTAATGTTCATAATAATATTATAAACTATTGAAATTCCTATTAAAACTTTGATCAGATTGAGTAGAAGTGATGTAATAATAGTCAAAATATTTTATAATAAAAATTTAAATAAATTTAAAGTTATTAAGATTTTTTAAGTATTCATTTTAATTGTATTTATGTAGAAATCGTAGTAATTTTATATAAATTTCGTTCTCTCTGAATATTAAAAAACAATCTTAAAGTTATTCTCTAATCCTTTATATATATTGAGAATAATCTATAGTTTTCTTAAATAAATTAAATCGAAATAATACTGTTATCCATAAATAGATGAATATTATATAGATTATCAATAATAATAGTATTTTTGATAAGTTATATTAATTCTTCTTACTTCTTACTTTTTAATAAATTATTTAGTAAATACATTTAAAATGAAAAAGGTAGATTCCAATTTATGTTTTTATTTAATGAATATTCTTTGATTCATTATAACTATTGAATGATTTAAAAAAAATAACAGCAATTTAAATAATATAATTGAAAATATTAGAAAATTATGAGTAAATTTTAATGTACTTATTTATTTAATAATAAAAATATATAGTAAAGAATTTTTATTAAAGTTAAAGTTAGAAGTATTAATATAAAATATCATTAACTATATTTTCATCTAATAGTACTAAATTTGATAATTTCTGATAATGTTAATACTTGTATATTGAAATCACACGTTTTATAATTAAACTAATTTTCTCTACCTTGTGACGTATTAATTAAATAATACGCATTTGCTCCAATTATAAAAATCCAATTGTCAAATAAGATTTAAATAATAATATAGATATGTTAGTTTAAGAGGAAGATTATTTATTTGACACAGAGTTCACTATTGCTACTAAAACTATTCATAAAACTTGTGATTAGACCTATGGAGCTGTAAATCCTCCTATTTACATGAGTTCAACTTTTGAATTAAAGGATGTAGATTCATTTGGAAAAGGATACTTTTACACTAGATGTGGTAATCCTACTAGAACAGTAGTAGAAGAGATAGTAGCAGAAATAGAACAAAACAATTATGCAATAGCATTCAGTTCAGGAATGGCTGCTATTTAATGTGTGATCAATTTGTTAAAAGAAGGAGATGAAATGTTAGCAATGGATGATCTTTATGGAGGAACAATTGGTTATTTGAAAAGTATTGCAATGGAGAGACATGGAATAAAAGTTAAATTTGTAGATATGACGAATATCGATGAAGTCAAAAACCAAATGAATCAAAATGTCAAACTTATTTTCTTAGAGACACCAACTAATCCAACTATGAAATTAACTGATATTAAAGAACTTTGTTAGGTAGTGAGATAAATTTAAAATAATGTAATTGTTGCAGTTGATAATACTTTTGCTACACCCTACCTTTAAACACCTACAGAATTAGGAGCTGATATAACATTAAACTCAGGCACAAAATACTTAGGAGGACATTCAGATATAATTTTTGGTACTCTGAGTTGTAGAAATAAAGAATTATATGATAACTTATTTAAGATCTCTTATTTAACTGGGGGATGTCCAAGTCCATTTGATTGTTACTTAGTTACAAGAAGTTTGAAGACTCTTGAAGTCAGAATGAAATAATAAATTAAGAATGCTTATATTTTAGCCAAGTATCTTGAAGGTCATCCAAAAGTAGAAAAAGTGCTCTATCCAGGATTAGAGAGTCATCCTCAACATGATTTAGCCAGAAAATAAATGAGAGCAGGAGGTGCAATGATCAGTTTTTATATTAAAGGTGGAGCTGCTGAAGCAGAAAAGATGATGAAAGGACTTGAATTATTCACTATGGCTGTTAGTTTGGGTGGAGTAGAAAGTATAATCTTATTTCTATTTTAGGTTTAATATAAATCCCAGCAAAAATGACTCATTCAGGTTTAACTGAGGCTAGAAGACAGGAGCTTGGAATTACTTAAAATCTAATAAGACTTTCAGCAGGTTTAGAGCATGTTAGCGATCTAATCAAAGATTTAGAACATGCATTAAAGGATATCTGAATTTTATTAATCTATTTTCTATAGAAATTTTATATAAATTTATTCAATAATAATAACAATAAATTTTTAGTATTTTAAGATTAAGAAATTTAATGAACATAATAATAAGTATTAATATATTTTATATGATATAAATCATAATTAATATATTAATACTCTGCTCACCTTCAATATTAATCTCAATCAATACCTAATATCTCGAATACGCTGATGTAGCTCAGTCGGCAGAGCGGTTGGCTGTTAACCAACAGGTCGAAGGTTCAAGCCCTTCCATTAGCGCTTTTTTTCTTATTTTTTATATAATTAAAAAAGTATATTAATAATTATTGATTTTAATTTGTAATTATCAAATTAATATTAATTAATTTTCACATCTAATTATAATTAATCAAGACTATATTATTTTATTGAAATATTGAAATTCATTTTTTATATATCAGTATTAAAACATTAATTGGATATTCTAATGATTATTTCAAATTTAAAATGATTTTTGTATACAATCACAATTTTTTATACTGATTATGAGTCTCAATTTAGTTGATATAATTATTGTTTAATAGATATTATACATAATGTTATTCAATCATAAATATAGAATGAAATTATATCTTTTATTATATGAAATTGGTTTCATCATGATATTTTATTATTAATTAACAAACTAATAATAGTTTTGATGTCATCATTATCTTAATAATTCGAACTTTAGCATAGGGATTCAATTTAAGAATCCTTGTTGAATGAATCATCCATTTATAATTAAGATGATTATCATTTAGAAAGCTCACAAAGCATTTCAAATGGAAAATAATTTTAGAATAAAGCCAGATTGGCTATGGAAGAAAGAGCAGAGAAGGAATAACAATAATCACAATAATATATTTTAGAGAAAATCCGATAACTATATAATGATAGTTTAGAAGGTGTATCATTGAAATTGAGTACATCTTATATTATATTGTAGACATATTGTATTAATTACCAATATTGAGACCTAAACAAATAATTTTATGGAAATTATTTATCAATCTATTAACTTTATTTGTGTTTTTTGAGGTTCCTGTTTATATAGCATTTGGATAAGGATTTTGGAAGGTATAATAATTTATATAATTTAAGGAATTGGATACAGAAAAATAAGTTGCTGCATTGTATTATTCAATATCTCTTTTTCTTGTTATAGATATGGGTTTAGATTTTATAACTGCTTATTATAAACATGGAGTAGTCATAACAGACAGTAGAAAAATAGCAATAAACTATTTATATGGGAATTTCTTTTTTGATCTTACAGCAGTAAAACTTTATTATATAAAAATAGTTAATAATCTCAATTGCTAGATTATCTCTATTCACTTCTAATTTTAGATTTATATTTTTAATGTTTTACTTTAAATTACCTTCATTTTTAAGATTTGATGATTAATTGAATGAAATGGTATTACTTTATAGAAGAACGAGAGTTTTTTATGAAGTTGGAAAAAGAGTTATTTTTATGTTTTTTGCTTTCAATGTATTTTTGTGTGTTTTTTATATTATTGGATTACATAGTGTAGCATCAAATTATAATTCATGGTTAACAAATTCAGGTAATTTTGGAATTATATTGGATCGACCTTTGCATGAAATATATTTTTTTGGATTCTATTTTTCATTAGGAACAGTTTCTACTACTATGGGTTATGGTGATATAGTAAATATTTAATAAAATTGATTAGTCTCCTATGAATATAATAGAATGTTCTTGGTCTCTATTAGGAGTAATGTTTGGACTCATAATCTTTGCAAATAATATCAATTCTTTTTAAAAAATGATGGAAGAATATAATTTAAATGATCTTAAACAATTTAAATATAAGGTAAGCATCAATAAATTTATGGAATAAAAATAAGTATCATCTGAGTTACAGGAAATAATTAGATAATATCTCAATGAATATTGGCATTAATAAGGACTTAGAGATTAAGAACAAGAAATATTGGTATTTTAAATGTTGGCTCCTGAATTAAAATAAGAATTAATGTATTAATCTTATGGACAATTTTTATAAACAACATTTTTCTCAAAATATTTTTCAAAACCTTTTTTAAAAGATCTCTCAGAAAAAATAACAGAAGTTAATTATTCAACAGGTAATGTTATAATTGAAGCTGGTGATTCTAATGATGATTAAAGTTTTTATTTTATATAAAGTGGAACTGTAATTATAAAATGTGGTAATTCAGAAATTGTAAAAAAGAAATTGATAAAGGGAGATAGTTTTGGTGAATTTGCTTTTATGACAGGTATTATATTTTATTATTTAAAATAAAAGGATAAGCAAGAACAGCTACAGCCTATTCTTAAGAATATAGTTAATTACATAAAATATCTAGAAATGATTTCTTAGATATTTTAAAACATTATCCTGATGATTATGAAATATTTTGTAAATTGAGAGATGAATTGATTTTTTCATAACATTTTCAATCACTTGGATAATTTTGTTGGACTTGTCATAAATTTAATCATTATGCATATTCATGTCCTTTTACTCATTATATTCCTGAAGTTTAAGATTTAGTTGAAAATGCTACTATTTTAAATTCAAATCAAGATAGAATGAAAATTTAAAGATATGATAGAAAACATTGGCCAACAAGAACTAATCAAAAGACTTTAGTTAATGGTTTGAATAAATCAAAAATTAAAAAATTTGCTAATGTTATGGTACTTTCTAATTATAATTGAATTAGTTGAAAACAGTAAAAAATATCAATATGCAAAAATAATCTCCTCTCAAAAAATAATCGAGTATCCAATAAAGTGCTTAATCATTTGGGTTAGATTCTGAATCAAAATTAGAATTTAATAAATCTGAATCAATATAAGATGATTCCCTAAAAATAAATTAGCAAGATGATGGTGATATTTCTTAAGTTCAATTTACAGAGTAAAAGGATGTTGAAAAGAATAATCTATCTTCATTATAAAATAAACTTAATCAATACAGAGATTAATAACAATATTAAATCCATTAAGGTTTAGATTATTTTGATGAACCTTAGAATTTCAAATATTATCACAAAAAATTCAATTATTCAAATTACAAAGTTTTCTAAGGATTTAAAGAATCTTAAATGAAGAAATAAATAAACATAAGAAAATCATTTATGCCTGGAACATACACTTGAATACTTATTTATTTTTTTTTATTTAAAATTATATTAAATTAGTTAAGAAAATTACATGGAAACATTACCTAAACAATTAAGAAATCTTTTAAAATAAATCGATTTATTTAGTATACCAGTACCAGTATTAACTGATGATGCTAAATCTAAGTATTCAAGTCCATGTAGCGGATTAATTTCAATTTTGGCTTCAGTATTAAGTTTAGCTTACTTTGCATATGTATTATCAGAATGGTCTAATGGAAACATACTTCCTACCATTACAAGTAATTAATAAGCATTAGCTTATTCTGAACAAGAATTGGAGGATAATTTTATTTAGTTCAAATTAGCAGATCCATCAAATTAGGATCCTTTTTAAAGAAATAATAATATTATAACTCCTTTATTATTTGTTGTTGAAGATTATTAAATTGCTAGTGCTCCATTACCTTTATTTAGTGATGAAAAAAATCCATTCACTGTAGGATTAAATAAAGGTACATTAATTGTAAATAATTTAAATCAGAAAATTAATGAACAATCATTTAAACCATAAAAAAATTATTTATTGATATTTATTCAATGTTTAGATTAATACTTAATAGATAATAGTAATTGTGCTAGTTAAGAAGTGATTGATTAATATATGACAGAATATCATGGATTTCTCTCTATTGTTATGAAATTAGAATAATATAATTATAGAAAAGATCAAATAGAATATATAACAAAATAAGCTTATTAAGCACTCTCACCAACCTATATTCAATATACTTAAATAGCTATTTAATAAAAAGCCATTAATCTCGATAATGGATTATTATTTCAAAATTAGGTTACTTATAAATTAATTAATGATTTCTATTTAATTAATTAATCAATTGATAATCAATATATATAAAATATTGTATCATCATTTTCTAATTAAAATGTTAAATTAAATGCCATTATGGCATATTAGATAAGAATAGATAATTTATAAATTTCAGATAGGATTATTATGCCTAAATTAAGTGCTGTTTTGGCTTATATAGGTTCAATTGTTTAAGTCATTTTTATGTTGAAGTATCTAGCATTATTTATAAATAATCAAAATTTGAAATTAGAGATGCAAACAGAAATTCTTCAGATATATTATCCAAATTTGAAAAATATGATTATAAAACGAAACTATTTTGGTAAAATAATTCCAATAAATGAAACCAATTAATAAGATACTTAAAATGAAACATTTATTAAATAATATGAAGAACATCTTGATATTGCATTTAAAAAGCTTCGGCTAATAAATATTATTTATGAACTATCTAGAATAGAACTTCTATTGGAAAAACATTTTGGTCTTGAGAATGTGAGTGAATGTAATTAAATGGGATCTAAATTTTAATTTACAAGTAATGATAACAAATATTAATCTTCAAGAGTTTCTATTGTATCTGTAGGAAATTCAGGTCCTTAACTTACAGATGATATTTTTAAAATATTTAATAAATCTTGATTAGATCATCTATTTAATAATTAAGAAATATTTAGTTATTTTTATAATATATTTATATGATCTCTATAATTTTCTTATTATTTGGCTTAATACAGAGTTAAGATGATAACATAATAAATGATATTAATGATGATAAACAAGATAGAAAAGATCTAATGCAAGAATGGGAAGTGATGATGCAAGACTTTGTTCCTGATGATATGATAGCATTTGAATTGAAGTAAGGCAACATGGAAATATTGGAGGAAGGAATTCATCATCCAACAACAATACGTGGAGCTTATTTTATTAGTATGACAACCAAAGAGAAAATTAATTTCTTAGTAAGAATCAATATTTATAT